TCCCCGATGGCGGCGTCCTTCCTTCCCTGGAGCCAGACGCTGGTGTGCGGGGCATGGGGGAAGGGGCGGGGCGGCGATGGGAGGAGGTGTGGCTTGCGTGGAGGGGGCGTGGTGCGGTCATGTGCGCGCGCCGGGCGACTCGCGCCGGGACTCCTCTGCACATGCTCCGTTTGGTTGTGTAATTGTGAGTTTGTTGTTATGTTTTTTTTTGAGTTGTGATGAGTGTTCTGCATACCTTGTGGTTTGAGATATGCGTACGCCAAGTTTGGTGATTTTTCGTCCGGGGGTTTTCGTGTTTTGCAGCCCCTAACGATGCCCTTTTGGATTTTATATATATAGATTGCTATATCGTATTATTATTCTAAGTTATTCATAGAATCATAGAATCAAAGAGTTGGAAGAGACCTCATGGGCCATCCAGTCCAACCCCCTGCCAAGAAGCAGGAATATTGCATTCAAATCACCCCTGACAGATGGCCATCCAGCCTCTGTTTAAAAGCTTCCAAAGAAGGAGCCTCCACCACACTCCGGGGCAGAGAGTTCCACTGCTGAATGGCTCTCACAGTCAGGAAGTTCTACCTCATGTTCAGATGGAATCTCCTCTCTTGTAGTTTGAAGCCATTGTTCCGCGTCCTAGTCTCCAGGGAAGCAGAAAACAAGCTTGCTCCCTCCTCCCTGTGGCTTCCTCTCACATATTTATACATGGCTATCATATCCCTCTCAGCCTTCTCTTCTTCAGGCTAAACATGCCCAGCTCCTTAAGCCGCTCCTCATAGGGCTTGTTCTCCAGACCTTTTATCATTTTAGTCGCTCTCCTCTGGACACATTCCAGCTTTTCAATATCTCTCTTGAATTGTGGTGCCCAGAATTGGACACAATATTCCAGGTGTGGTCTAACCAAAGCAGAATAGAGGGGTAGCATTACTTCCCTAGATCTAGACACTATGCTCCTATTGATGCAGGCCAAAATCCCATTGGCTTTTTTTGCCGCCACATCACATTGTTGGCTTTGATTGTTGAATTTGTTGTCCATGAGTAATGGCATCCCTTCGTTGATCGGGGCCCAGCTAACGGGGCCCAAAAAAATCCATGTGGCTTTTTTTAATTCCTTCTGTTTTTTCAATATACCTTATAATAAACATATTATCAATAGTATTGTAGGTTATTTTAGATAAGACAATGTATTTAGACGCAATGCAAGAACTGACTTAGAGATATTAGACAATGGCACTTATTGCATTTATTTAATGAGAATTAGCATTATCACATTTTCTCTACTATATATTCGATATATTTTAAAAATTTGAGGAATGTTTGTAATATTATAAGATAATATTCAGATGCATGTATGTTGTAGTTATTTCTGTTATATCTATTTATGGATTCTTACATATTATTATTTTAGACTACACTGATGATTATAGTGCAAAGTTTAATTTGTATTATACTGTTATCTTATGCAAATACTAATAGTATAATATAAAGGTAAAAGTAAAGGTTTCCCCTGAGAATCATAGAATCCTAGAGTTGGAAGAGACCTCATTGGCCATCCATTCAAATTGCATTCAAAGCACCCCCGACAGATGGCCATCCAGCCTCTGTTTAAAAGCTTCCAAAGAAGGAGCCTCCACCACACTCCGGGGCAGAGAGTTCCACTGCTGAACAGCTCTCACTAATGTTCAGGTGGCATTAAGTCTAGTCGAGTCCGACTCTGGGGGTTGGTCTCATCTCCATTTCTACGCCGAAGAGCCAGCGTTGTCCGTAGACACCTCCAAGGTCATGTGGCCAACTAAGATTGTGTGATGCTAATAATATAATATTACCGTATATTCCGGCATATAAGACGACTGGGCATATAAGACGACCCCCAACTTTTCCAGTTAAAATATAGAGTTAAGACAACTCCCATGCATAAGACTACACCCGCGTATAAGACGACCCCTGACTTTTGAGAAGATTTTCTTGGGTTAAAAAGTAGTCTTATACGCCAGAATATACTGTATATATAAAATATTAATAATACTACTATAATGCAAGACAATATAATAATACAATATATTGTGTCATTATAATAATACTAATATATTAATTATAATAGTGCTGGTAAGACATAATAATATATGATGATAATACTATTTTATTATTGGGTATTGATAATAATATTGTAATGCAACAATAATACTAATAATAATAATAATACAATATAATAATATAATCAGTATATATTATATGTAATATTAGTAATAATATTGCAGTATAGTGGTATAATACAATAGAGTAATATAGAATACTAATATTGTGATATGCTAATAAAATAATATATTGTATATACATATAATATTGATGATATTATAATGTAATACAATATAATACTAATAATACCATATAATAATATATTGTGTCATTATAATTATGCTAATATATTAATTATAATAATACTGGTAATATATAGTAATATATGATGATAATACTGTTTTAATATTGGGTATTGATAATAATATTGTCATATAATATAATACTAATAATAATGCAATATAACAATATATTATAATATCGTAATATTATAATAAAATTGTAATACTCAGTTCTTGTGGGTTTTTTCGGGCTATATGGCCATGTTCTAGAGTTCTAGAACATGGCCATATAGCCCGAAAAAACCCACAAGAACTGAGTGATTCCGGCCATGAAAGCCTTCGACAATAAAATTGTAATACTATAATACTAATAATAGCAAAATATAATGATATATAATAATATTGTAATATAATTATAATAATATATTAATTATAATACTACTGGTAATATTTAATAATATATGATGATAATACTGTTTTATTATTGGGTATTGATAATAATATTGTAATACAATACTAATAATAATACAATGTAACAATATATAATATAATATTGTAATACTATAATACTACTATATTATAATAATATTGTAATGTAATTATACTAATATATTAATTATAATACAACTGGGAATATATAATAAATGTTAAAAATACAAAATAATACGATTTAATAATATATAATAATACTGTAATACAATAGAATATTAATAATACAAGATAATAATATATAATAATATTGTAATATAATATTACTAATATATTATAATACAACTGGGAATATATAATAAATGCTAAAATACAATATAATACTAATAATAATAAAATATAATAATATATAATAATACTGTAATACAATATACTATTAATAATACAATAATATATAATAGTATATGATGATAATACTGTTATTATTGGGAATTGATAATAATATTGTAATACAATATAATACTAATAATACAATATAACAACATATTGTAATATTATAATAATATTGTAATACTATAATACTAATAATAGTACAATATAATAATATATCATAATATTGTAATATAATTACACTAATATATTAATTATAATACAACTGGTAATATATAATAGTATACGATGATAAAACTGTTATTATTGGGAATTAATAATAATATTGTAATACAATATAATGCTAATAATACAATATAACAATATATTATATTGTAATATTATAATAATGGAATACTATAATACTAATAGTACAATATAACAATACATCATAATATTGTAATATAATTATACTAATATGTTAATTATAATTCAACTGGTAATATATAATAGTATATGATGATAATACTGTTATTATTGGGAATTGATAATAATATTGGAATACTATAATACTAATAATAGTACAATATAATGTTGTAATATAATTATACTAATATATTAATTATAATACAACTGGTAATATATAATAGTATATGATGATAATACTCTTATTATTGGGTATCGATAATATTGTAATACAATATAATACTAATAATACAATATAACAACATATTATATTGTAATATTATAACAATATTGTAATATAATTATACTATTATATTAATTATAATACAACTGGTAATATATAATAGTATACGATGATAATACTGTTATTATTGGGTATCGATAATAATATTGTAATTTAATATAATACCAATAATACAATATAACAATATATTATATTGTAATATTATAATAATATTGTAATATAATTATACTATTATATTAATTATAATACAACTGGTAATATATAATAGTATATGATGATAATACTGTTATTATTGGGAATTGATAATAATATTGTAATGCAATATAATACTAATAATACAATATAACAAAATATTATATTGTAATATTATAATAATATTGTAATACTATAATACTAATAATAGTGCAATATAATGTTGTAAGATAATTATACTAATATATTAGTTATAATACAACTGGTAATATATAATAGTATATGATGATAAAACGGTTATTATTGGAAATTGATAATAATATTGTGATACAATATAATACTAATAATACAATATAACAATATATTATATTGTAATGTTATAATAATATTGTAATACTATAATACTAATAATAATAGTACAATATAAGAATAGTACAATATAATAATATATCATAATATTGTAATATAATTATACTAATATATTAATTATAATACAACTGGCAATATATAATAGTATATGATGATAATACTGTTATTATTGGGTATCGATAATAATATTGTAATACTATAATACTAATAATAGTACAATATAATAATACATCATAATATTGTAATAAATAATATATAATAATAATACAATATAACACTAATAATAATACAATTTAATAATATATAATAATAATATTGGGTTGTGGTAGGTTTTTGCGAGCTATATGGCCATGGTCTAGAGGCATTCTCTCCTGACGTTTCGCCTCCATCTACGGCAAGCATCCTCAGAGGTCGTGAGGTGATATAATATAACAATACAACAATACATTAATTATAATACTACTGGTAATATAAACTAATATATGATGATGATACTGTTGTATTTCTTGGGGCCACACCAAAACTACAGATCCCACGCATGCAATTTGGCAAGGAAGAGCCAAGTCTTTGAGGCTCACCTTGAGGCCGAGGGAAGGATGCCAGGAAAAGGCTGGAGAAGACCCTACCTGGGCGGCTGCGCATCCAAAGGCTCTGTCGCTGATGCTGGTGCTGGTGCTGATGCGGAAGTGGAGTCTGCGTCGTCCGGCCAGGAGCCGCAGCGCGAGGCTGGGGCTTGGAGTTCTAATAGGCGCGGAGCCCCCTTTTCCCGCGGGGTGACTCACGGCCCCGCCCCCTCTCCCATCCGCTGGGGGCTCCTGAGTGACGTCAACCAGCGGCGGGAGCCAATCGGCCGGCGGGCTGCGGCTGGAGAATTTCATTCATAAAAAAATAACAATAATACAAAAAAGCTCGGGGCGGAGCCTCCAATCAAAGAGAACCGCAGCGCGGGCGGAGGCGGGGGCGGGGCCAGGCCTCCCACGGTGTCCTTCCAAAAGTCCTCTGTTGCAGGAAGGAAGGAAAGAAGGAAGAGAACCCCCAATAGGCCTTGTCTTATTTGATGGGGTAGGGCCCAGAGCCATGCCTCTGCCTCCTTGAAGTGCCAATATGCCCAAAGGTGAACACTGGTGGAGTTTGGGGGAAATAGACCTTGACATTGCTGGGATTTATAGTTCACCTATAATCAAAGAGCATTCTGAATCCCACCAATGATAGAATTGGGACAAAAAGCCCATGACCGACAGAAAATACTGGAAGGGTGTAGTGGGCATTGACTTTGAGTTTGGGAGTTGTAGTTCACCTACAATCAAAGAGCTCTCTGAACCCCACCAATGATAGAATTGGGACAAAAAGCCCATGACCGACAGAAAATACTGGAAGGGTGTAGTGGGCATTGACTTTGAGTTTGGGAGTTGTAGTTCACCTACAATCAAAGAGCTCTCTGAACCCCACCAATGATAGAATTGGGACAAAAAGCCCATGACCGACAGAAAATACTGGAAGGGTGTAGTGGGCATTGACTTTGAGTTTGGGAGTTGTAGTTCACCTACAATCAAAGAGCTCTCTGAACCCCACCAATGATAGAATTGGGACAAAAAGCCCATGACCGACAGAAAATACTGGAAGGGTGTAGTGGGCATTGACCTTGAGTTTGGGAGTTGTAGTTCACTTACATCCAGGCCACAATGAACTCAAACAATGATGGATCTGGACCAAACTTGGCACGAATACTCAATATGCCCAAATGTGAACACTGGTGGAGTTTGGGGGAAATGGACTTTGACGTTTGGGAGTTGCAGTTACTGGGATTTATAGTTCACCTACAATCAAAGAGCATTTTGAACCTCACTAATGATAGAATTGGGAAAAACATTTATTATATTGGTGGGGTGGGGTAGGGGGATTGATTTTGTCATTTGGGAGTTGTAGTTGCTGAGATTTATTGTTAACTTACAATCAAAGAGCATTCTGAACTCCACCAATGATGAAATTGGCCCAAACTTGGTATACAAAACTCCTATGACCAACAGAAAATACTGGAAAGGTTTCGTGAGCATTGACCTTGAGTTTTGGGAGTTGTAGTTCACCTACATCCAGAGAGCACTGTGGACTCAAACAATGATGGATCTGGACCAAACTTGGCACAGATACTCAATATGTCCAAATGTAAAAACTGGTGGAGTTTGGGGAAAATAGATCTTGACATTTGGGAGTTGTAGTTTCTGGGATTTATAGTTCACCTTCAATCAAAGAGCATTCTGAATCCCACCAATGATAGAATTGGGACAAAAACCCCATGACCAACAGAAAATACTGGAAGGGCATTGACCTTGAGTTTGGGAGTTGTAGTTCACTTACATCCAGGCCACTGTGGATTCAAATAATGATTGATCTGGACCAAACTTGGCACAAATACTCAATATGCCCAAATGTGAACAGTGGGGGAGTTTAGGGAAAATAGATCTTAACATTTGGGAGTTGAAGTTGCTGGGATTTATAGTTCACCCAGAATCAAAGAGCGTGCTGAATTCCACCAATAATAGAATTGGGACAAAAACCCCATTGGGATTTATAGTTCACCTAAAATCAAAGAGCATTCTGAATCCCACCAATGATAGAATTGGGACAAAACCCCCATGACTAACAGAAAATACTGGAAGGGTCTGGTGGGCATTGACCTTGAGTTTGGGAGTTTTAGTTCACCTACAATCAAAGAGCGTCCTGAAACCCACCAAGGATAGAATTGGGCCAAACTTCCCACACAAAACCCTCATGACCAACAGAAAATACTGGAAGGGTCTGGTGGGCATTGACCTTGTGTTTGGGAGTTGTAGTTCACCTGTATCCAGGCCACTGGCGACTCATATAATGATTGATCTGGACCAAACTTGGCACAAATACTCAATATGCCCAAATGTGAACAGTGGTGGAGTTTGGGGAAAATAGATCTTGACATTTGGGAGTTGTAGTTGCTGGGATTTATAGTTCCCCTACAATCAAAGAGTATTTTGAACCCCACCAATGATCGAACTGGGCCAAACTTCCAACACAAAACCCTCATGACCAACAGAAAATACTGGAAGGGTTTAGTGGGCATTGACTTTGAGTTTGGGAGTTGTAGTTCACCTACATCCAGGCCACTGTGGACTCAATGATTGATCTGAACCAAACTTGGCACAAATACTCAATATGCCCAGATTCTAAATTTGTTGTTGTTGTTCATTCGTTCAGTCGTCTCCGACTTTGTGACCTCATGGACCAGCCCACGCCAGAGCTCCCTGTTGGCCGTCACCACCCCCAGCTCCTTCAAGGTCAGTCCAGTCACTTCAAGGATGACATCCATCCAGATCTTGACATTTGGGAGTTGTAGTTGCTGGGATTTATAGTTCACCTTCAATCAAAGAGCATTCTGAATCCCACCAATGATAGAATTGGGACAAAAACCCCATGACCAACAGAAAATACTGGAAGGGCATTGACCTTGAGTTTGGGAGTTGTAGTTCACTTACATCCAGGCCACTGTGGATTCAAATAATGATTGATCTGGACCAAACTTGGCACAAATACTCAATATGCCAAAATGTTAACACTGGTGAAGTTTGGGGAAAATAGACTGACATTTGGGAGTTGTAGTTGCTGGGATTTATAGTTCACCTACAATCAAGGAGCGTTCTGAACCCCACCAATGATAGCATTGGAACTAAACCCTCATCGGGATTTATAGTTCACCTACAATCAAAGAGTATTCTGAATCCCACCAATGATAGAATTGGGACAAAACCCTCATTGGGACTTATAGTTCACCTACAATCAAAGAGCATTCTGAACCCCACCAAGGATAGAATTGGGACAAAACCCCATGACCAACAGAAAATACTGGAAGGGTTTGGTGGGCATTGACTTTGAGTTTGGGAGTTGTAGTACACCTACATCTAGGCCACTGTGGACTCAAATAATGATTGATCTGGACCAAACTTGGCATGAATATATGCCCAAATATTAACACAGATAGAGTTTGGGGTAAATAGATCTTGACATTTGGAAGTTGTAGTTGCTGGGATTTATAGTTCATCTACAATCAAAGAGCATTCTGAATCCCACCAATGATAGAATTATGGCACACAGAACTCCCATGACCAACAGAAAATATTTGAAGGGTTTGGTGGGCATTGACCTTGAGTTTGGGAGTTGTAGTTCACCTACATCCAGAGAGCACTGTGGACTCAAACAATGATGGATCTGGACCAAACTTGGCATGAATATTCAATATGCCAAATATTAACACAGATGGAGTTTGGGGTAAATAGATCTTGACATTTGGGAGTTGTAGTTGCTGGGATTTATAGTTCACCTACAATCAAGGAGCGTTCTGAACCCCACCAATGATAGCATTGGAACTAAACCCTCATCGGGATTTATAGTTCACCTACAATCAAAGAGTATTCTGAATCCCACCAATGATAGAATTGGGACAAAACCCTCATTGGGACTTATAGTTCACCTACAATCAAAGAGCATTCTGAACCCCACCAAGGATAGAATTGGGACAAAACTCCCATGACCAACAGAAAATACTGGAAGGGTTTGGTGGGCATTGACTTTGAGTTTGGAGTTGTAGTTCACCTACATCCAGAGAGCACTGTGGACTCAAACAATGATGGATCTGGACCAAACTTGGCATAGAATACTCAATATGCCCAAATGTGAACACTGGTGGAGTTGGGGAAAATAGACTTGACATTTGGGAGTTGTAGTTGCTGGAATTTATAGTTCACTTACAATCAAAGAGCATTCTGAATCCCACCAATGATAGAATTGGAAGAAAACCCCCATGACCAACAGAAAATACTGAAAGGGTCTGTTCGACATAGACCTTGAGTTTGGGAGTTGTAGTTCACAGACATCCAGGCAACTGTGGCCTCAAATAATGATTGATCTGGAACAAACTTGGCACGAAATCTCAATATGTACAAATATTAACACAGATGGAGTTTGGGGTAAATAGATCTTGACATTTGGGAGTTGTAGTTGCTGGGATTTATAGTTCACCTACAATCAAAGAGCGTTCTGAACCCCACCAATGATAGAATTGGAACTAAACCCTCATCGGGATTTATAGTTCACCTACAATCAAAGAGTATTCTGAATCCCACCAATGATAGAATTGGGACAAAACCCTCATTGGGACTTATAGTTCACCTACAATCAAAGAGCATTCTGAACCCCACCAAGGATAGAATTGGGACAAAACTCCCATGACCAACAGAAAATACTGGAAGGGTTTGGTGGCATTGACCTTGAGTTTGGGAGTTGTAGTTCACCTACATCCAGAGAGCGCTGTGGACTCAAACAATGATGGATCTGGACCAAACTTGGCACGGATACTCAATATGCCAAATGTGAACACTGGTGGAGTTTGGGGAAAAAATAGATCTTGACATTTGGGAGTTGTAGTTGCTGGGATTTATAGTTCACCTAAAATCAAAAAGCATTCTGAATCCCACCAATGATAGAATTGGGACAAAAACCCCATGACCAACAGAAAATGCTGGAAGGGCATTGACCTTGAGTTTGGGAGTTGTAGTTCATTTACATCCAGGCCACTGGATTCAAATAATGATTGATCTGGACCAAACTTGGCACGGATACTCAATATGCCCAAATATTAACACAGATGGAGTTTGGGGTAAATAGATCTTGACATTTGGGAGTTGTAGTTGCTGGGATTTATAGTTCACCTACAATCAAAGAGCGTTCTGAACCCCACCAATGATAGCATTGGGACTAAACCCCCATGACCGACAGAAAATACTGGAAGGGTTTG